TATGTTTACCAGCCTGTGTATCAATATTACGTCAACTTCACACTTTCTCACTGATTCTTCTATGCCTATCCATCAAGGTGTATTAACATACATAAAACTGCAGGCTAAGTGGCTTTTCCTAGAGCATTTCCATTTCTAAGTCTAATAACTTCATTTCTGTCCTCTCCATGATCAACACACAAATCCAGCAAGAACCAAACCCCCTCATCACAGCACCCCATGCAATTTTACTGTGCTCTGCCAGTGAAGTGTTTCGCTCGCAATTCCAACTTTGTTCCTCATCACTTGTTCTACCATTTCCTGGCAACTTCAATTCATGTCAAATCGAATTTGTCTGGACACAGGGAAGAGTTATGACTTAGGAAACCCATCTAATTTAATGATCCAGCTGAGCAGGTTCCACACAAGCCAATCACCCACGAAACCGGGTGCTTTCAGCTCCAGTGAAATCCACCTCAGGTCAGCGGGGATGTCACTCAGCATGGCAAACAGGCAAGGGTAGCTATTACCAAGGAGATGTTGAATCACATATGGACTAGAGGTGCCTCTCCCACCCTCCGCTCCAGGGAGGCCTTCCTTTGAAATAAAAGAGACAAGGACTACAGACAGCATGGGCGGAGGTGCAGAGGCAGAGCTCAGACCAGCATTGCTGCCTGACAGGAGCCCCCCGAGCAGCCGGTCACACAGCTAAAGCCCCGCTCCAGCAGGGCCACTTGTCTGGCCTGGGCAGGGTTTAAGAGGCTCCAGACTGAGGAGTGTTGGGCCAGCCCAGCCAGATCACGCTATGGGCCCTCCCTCTGAGCAGCACAGCAGCATCCCTGCTCCTGGAACACTCCCAGGAGAGAGTCAGAGATTGCTGCAGCACAGAGGCAAGTACTAAATCGCATTAGAGCACCAAAAAGGCAGGGAGACCGTGCCTAATCCTGCACGCTTACCTGTACACAAGCAGACAGGCTCCTATGGGTGATATATATATATATATATAGCTTAACCCCAAAGATACTCTACGGCCACTAGACACTGACCGAGATGGACCAAAGACAACAGCGATGCAGCGAGCAGCGCTGCGACAGCACCACGTGAGGGAAGCGCGGGTGTCTCCGTGCCGAGCCAAGCACCTCGAGCGCAGCCCCTCTCGCTGGGCAGCGACGCCAGAGCAGCTCAGGGCTGAAGAATTACACGACCTCTGCTTTTGACCAGGGGCATCCGCACTTTGCTCAGTTCAAGGGCTCAATGGCAGTTGTCCAGAGTCCACAAGCTCCTTTTAACTGAGATGACCCTGAGCAGATAGGTCTCTTCACTGTCAACACTGAGACCATAGATCTCTGATCAGGTTGGCAGGACTGGGCTGGACATCAGCTGCAGGCACTGTGGGCTGTCTCCCTGGTTAGGTGAGGCAGTGCCTTTGGAAACAAGCACTGCGTTGTGGCAGACCTGAGAATTCTGGAAACCAGATGTTCCAAGGCCTGTAAAGCTTTGGCCACGCATCCAGATACCTGCTGGCTGCTCAAGACCGTAAAACATCGCAGTGCTGGAGGCAGACGCAGATTTGTATATTGTACACAAGCAATTAGGTTTAGAAATGGAAATACATAGCGAGTACCTGCACGATACCAGAATACGTTGTCAGAAAAACTCCTGCACCTTGCCAGTTACGGTGATGCTCTGGCAAGGCAGGGACAGAACCGCGTGCAGGATGGCATCGGGAATGACAGTGCCCCCCGGAGTTTCACAGGCATGGGGTGAGGGAAACCAGAAGCATCTCAAGCTCTCCAGCCATGGGGATGCCAACTAAGGCATAAGACCTCAGCGGTGCTCACAGAGTAACCAAGGAGCGTCCCCACAGCGAGATACTTCTGTTATTCAGCAATCAACCTCAGGATACCAGTGTCAACGCACAAACCAGCAAAACCAAGTGCTAATCTAGGCATGGGTGCTGCAGAGAAGCAAGTCTTGACTTCTCCGCATCCTTTGTGGGAGAAACTACATCAAGGCCCTGACCCACACTAATGCTGTTTTTGTGGAGGGTTTTTTTGGGGGGAGAGGGTTTGGACAGCAATTGTTTTAACCTCTGCCATTTCATGGTTCAACTCACAGTCCACTTAAGATTGCGTAGGTCTATAGAACCACATTACCAAAGCCACCACTGAACAGTGTCGCTCAGTTCTCATGTCTACACTTCAAAAAGTTAAATTGAAGAGGATTCAGAAAGCTCTGTGAGAATAAGAAGGCTGGGAAACTTGACACAATTAAAACGTAGAGCCTAAGGAAGCCCGATCTATTAATTTTGTCAATTAAATGCTCATGAAATTAATTTTAGCATGGCCTGAGTACATCCACAGGAGTAAAAGACTGTGACAATAAATGTCTCATTAGGAAAAACCAAATGAACTGCAAAGGTAATGCCACTGTTCCACCCCCGAAGCTCTCACAATGAAATAAATTTCAGTTTACTTAAAAAAAAAAAAAAAAAAAAAGGCACCATGATTGAGCTAGAACATGTAGATTTAACACTCATCACTAAGGAATCACCTCCAGGCTGCATCCCACCACAGAATTCAGACAAGATCATATTGGCTTCTTTTAATTTGAAGCTTATGAGCCTAACATAAACATCCATGTGAAGCACTATAAGGCACTGGCACCACAACAAAATACCCTCATGGGCAGCTCGTCAGCGCTGAGCTCTTCCTCAGAGCCACTCCTTGGTATGGGCAGGGACTCCTGTAGGGCCGATCTCCGCCAGGGCCTGCCAACCCTGAGACAGCATCAGCAACATAATGTTTTGTATTTACCTTTTATAGCTGTTTTATGAATTTCTGAAGTCAGGACCTAAACCAAACATTCCCACCCTCCTCGGTGGTAGGTGTGCAAAGGAGCCCAGGGGCAAAACGACGACTGGAGACCAATGATGCTACAACAGGGAAAGTCCAGCCAGCCAACCACCGCAGCTCAGGAACTTCCCATACCTGCTTCGTTGGTTTTAATGCTCCCGGTTGGTCCCACCGCCCCCGATGCTATCGGGCGGCAGAACATGCTGTGGCAGAGTGCCACAGTTTAATAGCATGTTGTGTGAAAAAGCACTTCCGCCTGTTTATTTCAGACCTGCTGCATCATAATTTCCTGTAAGAAACAGAAAACTGATGTTCCCTCCTTGCTTTCTCTGACCTGCCCATGACTTCATGCCCCCGCATCCTATCTCCTGTCAGCAAGCTTCTCCCCCATGGTGAGGAAATGAAGGCTTCGCTTGTCTGGAACCCTGCTCGTCCACACTGCTCCTGATCCTACCTTTTCCAGCGCTCCCCTTTTGAGATGAGCTAACCAGAACTGCCAGCAATCACCAGGGCACAAACCATCACCGAGTTATGCAGCAGCATAATAATGTTTTCTGCTTTGTTCTCTGCTCCTTTAAAGTAATTCCAAAATATCCTTTTTAGGCTATGGTGGGGTGTTGAAGTGATGTTTTTAAAAGAAACAATGGCTGAGACACCAACTGCTCTTTCCTGAATAGTAAAAGCTGATGCAGAGTCAGTTGCTGCGGTGTTTGTTACCTTCATTACACCCGTTGCCATCGTATCTCGTTTACCACACTAGCACTCAGCCACTCAGTATTATCTGGTCTCTGCAGCTTCCCACAGTCCGGTTTAGCTGTCGTAAATAACTTAGGATTGAATTTTCCTTCTCCACATCACCATATTCAGAAAAAGCAGCAGAGATGACTGTGAAACTCCACAATAACCTCACTCCGCCGTGAGTGCCAACCGCTCATCCCTACCCTTTATTTGCCACCCTTCAGTCAGTTATTAAACCCCAAAAGGGCCTTCCCAGGCTGCTGCCCCTTGGCTTGTCATGGAGGATCCTCGTCAGAAGTTTGCAAAACCAAACGCGGCGCTCCATCTGGGAATTGCACCTATGGAGCAGGGCGATCCGGGCTGCCAGCGTACCTGAGAAACAAAGGTCAGGCCCTTTCCCCCCCCCGCCAGAAAAGCAGGCCGAGGCTCCCCACGTCCATTGCTTCTCCTTTACCAGCTTTTCCTCCCACG